GTACCTGTCATACTAGAACAGCTGTTGCTGGATCTGCTTCTGTGGCTTAGGCATTGAGAGTATTTCTGATTTAATAATCGTGAATGTGATTAATAATGCTAATCATAATTTAGAATCAAGTTGGATTTCTGATGGAATGTATTTAGATGTTATGAGATGAAAGCCCGTTGTCAATTGTTGGCATGTGAGGAGCCACATCTTGATGTGAATTCCCTCTCTTGTCTTCATTCAGAAGTGATTTGGAGTTGATTGTAGAAACTGGTGTCATTGCTGATGTATGACTTAAGCTTTATGTCCTGGATATAGACTTGATGGTACATGTTTTTGCAGATTCATTTTTTAAGAAGAGTCACCTTGATCCTTTTGGACAATCTCATAAAATTTAATATTTATATTTAAAGGAAACATTAGAGTGAATGGTCTTTGACTTTGTACTGGAAATTCTTACTATGTGTTATTGGCAGTTGGCCCACTCTGATACCGTTAGCACTTTTAGAAATGGGTAGAGGAAATGACCACACTACTGTGGGTAGGAGACTCTTCCTGATGAAGTGGGTATTCTGCAAATGATTTAGGACTCAGCTTCAGAACTGGAAATTAGGATTAATATCTGATAATATGTAATAAGCAAGGGATTTGGCATAATACAATGATGGTTGGCTCAGGTTTGACTATCAGTGGATCTGTTCAAAAAAGGCTTTGTTATAAAGAAATAAAAATTTTGTATTTTGATTGTTCTGCATCTGTGGATATAAAAATTTAAAGTCAGCACTTAATAAAATTGAAATTATTATCCATTGTCACTGATTTTGTTGAACTGCTATTGGTGAAGCTGGTCAAAAGACACCAAGTTTTTGAATCCCATGTTTCCTGGCATTAGTTCAGATATTCAAGCTAAGATTTGCTATGTAGAAACGGATTAAGAATTAATATCTGTGTTTTTGAAGTAAAGTTGGAGTTTATTAAGAACAGGTTTTAGCATAGTTTAAATGTGGCCATTAAGGGAGAGAGAGAGTAGTGCCTAGGAGATGTACATACCCCAGGGCAGGGTATGGGCTCTCTCAAGAGAGAGACAAGTGTTTTTATCTGTCTATCATCTATCTATCTATCTATCTATCTATCTATCTATCTATCTATCTATCTATCTATCTATCTATCTATCTATCTATCTATCTATCTATCTATCTATCTATCTATCTATCTATCTATCTATCTATCTATCTATCTATCTATCTATCTATCTATCTATCTATCTATCTATCTATCTATCTATCTATCTATCTATCTATCTATCTATCTATCTATCTATCTATCTATCTATCTATCTATCTATCTATCTATCTATCTATCTATCTATCTATCTATCTATCTATCTATCTATCTATCTATCTATCTATCATCTATCTGATTTTTGTGGCTTTTAAAGTTGCATTGTTCAAAGTGTTTTAAAGTTTATGCAAAGTACCTAGGTATATTTATTTTTATCTAAGGAATTTCTTTTTAGTAAGAGTGATAAAGTAGTGTGAAGGTGCTTTGCACAGTATTGAAGGGTAAGATAAAAACCATGGGTCAAAATGGACAAAGGAATCCTTACTGTATGTAGAGACCGAACATGGTTTGTAATCTTGTTTATGAGATTATCTTGATATTCAGCTAGCAGATGTGAGGGGCTCCTTTCCCTTCCCATGTCCCCTTAATTTTCCTTGTAACTCTATCCTGTCTTCATTTTCTTCTCTGGAGCTTTGATCCTTTGATCTGAAGAGCTAATGATGACTGAAGTTCAATTTTCTGAAGCCTCCTAAGGTTGACTATCACTGTAGACACTGTCTATCCAGTGATCAACATGCCCAGCATTTCTGATATAGTAGAAACATGAAAAGGTCCAAGCTCAGAGATCAGTTGCTCATCATTTGAAAAAGATATTATTATTCCAGACAGCAAACCATGTGAACAACAAAAGCATACAATATATTGATTTCTACGCCTAATCTTAACATTATCATCTAAAATAGGAGGCTCTTTGTCTACCTTAAGCTGGCTGAGAACCATGGTACTAGCAAAGTATTAAGACTTAAGGAAACAGATGAAAGATTAAATTGAGGTGTGCAAAATCTTGAAGGACCGAGGACACACTCCTCGAATTGTCAGGTGTGCACACCCAGCACTCCACTTTAATTTGGCGTAGGCTCCCTGCTGTGGTGCTGTAAGAATTTCAAGAGCCGTCTTCTTGTAGGATGACTCTTCACTACAACTTGACTTCCGAGTTCAAGAATGAGCTCCCTTGGGCTGTGAAGGCCTTTTATTTGTATTTAGTTAGAGATGGTGTTTGCCACATAACATTTTCTAACTCCATTTGAGGAATCAAAATGGAAGTTGAATATTGATACCAGAGGAAAACAAATCTTGTCCACCTGTGTTGTAAATTGGGAAGACGTGCAAGATAGTTTATAGTTTTCATCCAGTATCCATGCCCCCACAGGTATCCCAGTGTACAGCTACTTCCAATCCATCTTGGGTATGACTTCAGCCAGAAATGAGTACCATAGATCCATTCAGTGTAAATAGCAGCAATTGTTCCATGACCAATCAATTTTCCTCTAAATTATTGTTGAATTACAGTGTGTGGCTGGGATCCATTGTAACTGTTGGGCAAAGTTTCCATACTGGTTAAGTGAGTGGTTTCATTGCCCCCAACAAGGGGAGCCAGGTGACCGAGCTGTCCTGTCACAGGGGTGATCCATGGGTCATCATGCCATATCAGAAGATACTGTTCCCTACATGTATAACCACCTGTCAAAGCTCTGGGGTGCTCCATAGCAGAGGTGTGTAAGTGAGGTTTAGTCCAAGACTCCACTTGGCAGTTAGTCATTGCTAAAGAAGAAATGTTCCTGCACCTGGTTTGATGAGCCGTAATAGCTAGGTCAGGAGCAAACATTAAAATGCATAGGTCTTTGAAGCATGGAAGACTCTTTTCCTAAATGAGTTGATGGAGCTCTTTGACCTTATAAAGGGCATAACCCCTAAGGCAGACCAGAAATAGGAGAAACAATCAGAAATCCACAAATCCAGCAAACATCTTTGCTAGTATCTTTAAAATATAATTACGCCCAGTCTAAAAAGCAGTTAGTTTCAGGGCAGACAAGGTTTACTGGAATCAATAACATAAATATTAAAATCTTAAAAGGTGTAATCATGGTTATATACAGAGAATGCAGCTAGACACAGAAGAACAATTCCAGAAAAGAATCCAGTAATGGACTAGAATGGAAGAAAGTAGGTGACAGGCTTTGAATACGCGCATCTATCCTAACAGTCTGTAAGAGGAAACTGCTGAGGCCATGTAAAACAGAAAGTTATATAACAATGCTGCGGCATTGATAAATGAGTCTCATTTTTGTGTTCAAGAAGCTGAAGTATCTTTTTCTCTGGTTTGACGAGAAATTGTAAGTCTTTTAAAACTATCCTCAGAATGTCCTGAGACTCTGGAGCCTCAGGACAGGTTTTATTCTAGAGAATAACTTTTTGAATTGCTTTAGCCTAAGTGGGGCAAGCCTCTGGCTACCCAGAGATATTGATATACGTGGAAGGAAATTCTGGATGCTAAATTACCAGGTTTTTACCTAGAATGCATTTCTTTGTGCAGGGTCAAGTAAAGGCAGTGGCTTGGTCCCAACTCCTGAGTTGTTACAGAATGGACTGGCCTTCACAAGTGACCAGAATAGGTACCGAGTCTCTTCCCAGGGACATGAGTCATGAGGTCCTTTAATCATTTCCAGAGATCTGCTTGGGTCGCAGAATTGTACAGTTTCACTTGTGTACACCAGCCAGTTTTTGTCAGGGAGAAAACTATGGTCTGGTAATGTTCCCTGGCTTATGAATGCCACACCATGTCACCCTGCCACACAGAGGGAAGAAAGTTTTCTTTTCCTAAATCATGAATTCTCCATCCTGAGGCGGATAACAATAACTCTTAGCTTCTAAACATCTGATTGTTAAGAGTTTAATAAATCTTTAGTTGTGTGTGTTCCCTTTAACACCAGTTAATACATAAATTCATTTAGAAAGGGGTCCTGGGTTATCAGTTAAAGAAGAAAACATAGCACCTCCCCCAATCAAAAAGCAAATGTTACTACCTACTGTGTAGAGTTCCTCCAGGCACTGCAGTGATTGCCTGAGGCAGCCTGAGGAGAGTTTCACCAAAACCCCAGGTTAGTTTTCAAGAGCATCATCGGGACTGAGGACCGCTCCCTCCCTCTGCAGAGGAGCAAAGCCCTGACTTCCTAAAGCCCCAGGGAAGGCAGCTCTTCTTCAGTGCTGAATCCACAGCAGTACCAAGGGCTGAACCTTTGCAGATCCTCTTCCTCCTGCCCGGAATATCTCCAAGTAGACAGGTTTAATTCGCTGTGGAGAAGCATTAGAATGGGGGTGAAGGTTAGCAATCAAGCAGTTTCAGGTATCTGTAATCCTTTCCTCTGGCCCTGGCCCTTTGGACTGCCTCTGTATTATCCTAGTTGTTGAAAACCCTGGAAACCAAATTTTTAAATTTTGCAACTTCTTCTTACTGTCTGGAGAAGATTAATAATAAAATAAGTACCTGATAATATTTGACAGCTTTAGGAAAAATTTTAAAATAACCTTTAATTACAGCCAACTTAAGTATACATGTCATTTTTTATTAATAAAAACATGTTTCATCCTCCACAGACTTTTGTGGCATACATTCTGTTTTTCTTTGTCTATTTCTGTTTTAGAATAATCTCATATTGATAAGACAAAACCCTTTACCATTTTAAACCCTTGCTCATCCAAAAGCATTTTCTCCTTAACTATTTTCAAACATGTGTTTCTATACCCAAAACTTTTCATACCATTCTCTTATTTGGTGGTTCTTTCCTGACTTACCATTCTTAACAAAGTGTCTGAATTTTGAAAAAAAAAATCTAAAAAAAGTAAAAAAATTCAATTTTAATGAAAACCCAAGAGAGAAAACACAGGTGGACATGGATGCCGTATCTCAAACATTTAGCAGTTATAAATGTAGGCAGAGTACATGTTAACAGCCCTGGAGACACTTCTGTCTTCTCTAACTAATAAACCTATTCATATTTATGTTTGTTTATTATTTATTTAGTTTTGGTTTACTGAGGCAATACCTTACTTTGCAGCCATAGCTGGCTTGATACTTATCACATAGCCCAGGCTGGCCCCAAACTCTTGGCATTCGTCCTCCCTCAGCCTCCCAAGTGTGCCACCATACCAGTCTTTAGTAATTACTTGTGTTAAAATATTTTGACCTATTTTTTTGTGGGGCAAAGAGTAGTGTTGAGAATTGAACCTAGGGTCTCACATCTGCTTGGCAAGCACTGTACAACTTAGCTACAGCCACAGCCCAAAGAATTTAAATGATTTGTCAGACATTTTAAGTCTATGAATTAAGAGGAATTTGAACTAAGTCTATGCTGATTGATATCATGCAAATGATATGCAAATATAAGCACACTTGTAGATAATACACAGACAGCTGTTCATGAAAACAGACCATATCCACAGGCTTTGGTGCTTCCATTTAGATTTATTGTTTGCTAAGATTTTAAAAGTTAGGCTATTGATCTGATTCCTCTCCAAAGTACCACACAGTCCTTCATCCTAAATCTATACTGCCATAGGCATTATTTTCAGTAAAAGCAAAGGAAAAGATGTACATTAAGATGCAGACCTAACCTATCATTGAAAAGCCTTGACTAGAAAACAAAATGGTCAAAAGGTGAAGCTTGTTATGAAGTCTTAAGGCAATATCTTTTCTTAAGAGGCAAGCCCCAGAGGTACACAGCCAAACAAATGGAATCTCTCTCTCTCTCTCTCTCTCTCTTCCTCCCTCTCTCTGCAATTAGTTTCATGTGTGTGTGCGTGTGTGTGTGTGTGTGTATGTGTGTGTGTGTGTATGTGTGTGTGTGTGTTTGTGAATGCTATGTGTATGTGGGTGCCAGTGGAGGCCAGAAGAGGTGGTCGAATCTTTTGGAGCTGGATTTAAAAGCAATTGTGAGCCACCTGAGGTATTGAAAACAGAACTTGTTCATTTGGAAGTGCTACAAGTGCTCTTAACCAGCAGAACCGTCTCCCTAGCCCTGGAAATTTCTCTTTTAATGCCATTTTTAAGTCAAATTTTTCTACCTCCTAATGCAAGTCACATTGTTTCTGCTTGCAATTTTTTTAAATCACTACATATAGGAGCTAAATTTTTAATCTCCTTTGAAAGAAGAACCCATGGAGACTAACTTTGTCTGTGTGGGTTTTGGAAACCTTTGAGGCCCATTCCCAAAGATCACTTAGTGAGTATTGAGAAATAAAGATGGGAATCAGAGTCTCAGGAGGAGAAAGTTTGGGGCTGTAAAAGCAATCTGGCAGAACAGTGTCAGGAAGAGGCTGGGAGAGTCCCCATACGAGGCTGCTCACTTCCAGAAATAGTTATAGGAGAAAAGGCAGGGAGCACTGACAGGAAAGCTCGGGGATCAAGTGCGGAGGAGCTGACACCACAGAGAAACAGCCATGCACAGAAAGAGCCACCCCTAAAGTGCTTGGGTCTAGCTTAGTGAGGTTCGCTCCTCTGGGTGCCGCCCCAGAGTTGATTCATCTTAACTGGGTCTGAATCAGCTCTGATGTGGGCCAGGAGAGTGGTTGGGGGCCTTGTTGGCTGAATCCAGGGACATCCTCCTGATCACCCGGGATGTTTTCCATCTGACACAGAAGTGCGGAGGAAAATTTTCTAGGGAATTCCTGTTGCTGCTGTCAGTGGTACTCAACAAATAGTAGGTGAGTCCATGACTAGAAAATACAAGAGAAGCCGAGAATTGAAAGTAACGTGTCAACCAAAGTAATAGGTGTGAGAAGTGAAGTGACAACCAAGGAATTCACTAACAAAGCCTCAGTCGGTGCCCTGTATGGGCCACAGGGCTCAGAGGATGCCTTGTATGGGTGTGTGATAGTGGGAGCCCTGGGCTACCACCATAGCAGCCTGAGAGTTCTTCTCAGAGTCAGACGAACATGGTATTTTTGACTTAAATACCACAGAGAATTTCCAGATGAGTCAGTATGAAGCACAGCTGGAGTTTCTTAAGAAAATGTTTAGCATAGACTTAAGCCTGGGTGGAGGGAGGGACAGAATGGAGGAGAGAGGGATGGGGAAGGTGCGCTTAGGAAAAGGACAGTGCATGCTCAGGGCTGGGCTTGTCAAAACACCGTCACCAGAGTTAGTTACCTCTGACACTTCTCTTTTGGAGAAGTTACCCATCTGAGACTTTTCTGCCATTTTTTGTGAAAAATCGACTGCTTTGATTTCTCCACATCCAGGAGACTTTTAACAAGTGGTGTTCTTTTTTTGACAGCATACCAGCGGCAGTAAGTCAAGTGGCAAGGTCCTGGATTTCTTGACATCATTAGTAAATGCGTCATTCATCTAGTTGGTGTTTTATATTTCTAGTTTCTATAAGAAAGAATTCTTTGTTCTAATGACATCTTGAAGTGGTCCCTACACATCTCAAATGTAAAACAGTTCAAAATGGAAGCACATTTCACTGAAGACGTGATGCCTACAGCCTTTTCTACTCACCCCTTTTATCTTGCCCTAGAAAATTTTTTATATCTGGAATTAGTTAACCTGTATCAGACATTTAATTTTGTTGGTTCTGCAGAAGTTGAATTGATAACATGCATTTTTTCTTATACAGCTTCCCGTGGTCCATGTCTGCTAGCATTAATATCCCTGGGCTTGTATCCACTGTTTAGGTGTCTGATTGTTCTTTTAAAAATCATATTTTACCATGTATAATAGTGTACAGAATGCAGTCTAATCATTTTGTGTTAAAATAGGTGACTCAAGTTCTTCTGAAAACAGCTCATCTGAACCATCTAGTACTCCAGGTAATTTGATTGATGACTTTGAGTGTTTAAAAAATAGACATGTGCACATGCTGGCAAGTTTGAAATGCTCTGTTGATTACTGACTTACTGGGACTTGAAATTACTGTTTACAATGAACTTCTCCTCTTTCCTTAGTATAAAACTTAGATGACCAATAGGTATTTGTAGAAATTTAATGAATAAGAGAAAATTACATTTTAAGAAAACATGGGACACTTCTTTAATTCAGACATATTTTTAAAATAAAAGAGCATTTTAAATAAATTAGGCAATCTATTTCTACACAAACTGTAAAGTTCATTTAGATAAAGTGAAATGGCTTAACAGAAAAACCAATAAAGAGAGCTGTGAAAAATATTTTAAAATTCGACTGAACTATCTGCTTTTGTTACTGTTTTCATCCTGACTTTTAGGCCTTTTCCTAAAGTTTCATATCCATTTACTTAGTTACATGAAAGAGCCATTAGAAATATATAACATGGGGGACTTAAAGTTTCAAGACATACAGGTTTCCCCTTTTATCTAGGAAAGTAGCATTTTCCTCATACATAATTATATTATTAGTTTTAGATAACAAACTTACTGAATAAAATGCTCCTTAGGCAGGATTGTTTTGTGGCTTCTGGTAAAGATGGGCTTACAGTACTTAATTTTTGAAGCAGAAAAGGTAATTCTTAGTAGATTCAGCATGTTAGTAATTGTGCATGATCCCAGATGAATAAGCTCTTGAACACAGGATGACTAATTGACTCCAGAAAAAATGGATTTAAGGGATAATCACGTATGTAAATTTGACAAATTCCAGCTCTCAAGGCCAATTAGGATTCAGGATAACAACAAATTCACACTTAGAACACCTAATATCCTATGCATTTTAAATCAATGTATGTCTTAAAACTTCAATATTATCTATCCCTTGTGTTTAATAGAGAAAAGATCTCACATTCCAGAGGCAACTCCAACATACTCAGAAACAAGTGAAGTCTTTGGTAAGTGAACATGACTCTGATATTCATTCTTATTTTTAGACCCAATTCGGTACCTGAATGAAGTCACAAAGTAATTAAATTTGAAACTAAATAAAAAGTATCCTCATTACCTGTCTGAACACTGTATGTTCAAATGACATCATATTTATGCTATTTTTTCTTTGTGGACACAATCACAGTGAAAGCACTAACACATATATGTTATAGATACACACATATAAACATGCTTCTACATACAAATAGTAATATAATTCTTACAATCACTTGGTGTAAATGATATGTCATTCACCCATTAGAAAGCCTAGCTTTACAAAAAGCAAAGCATGCAATCGACTTCCTTCCCTTCCCATATTAGACACGAAATCCCTTTTCCCAAGGAAACATGCATAGTTTGATTAGTGTTTTGCTTTGCCCAGAATTGATAATTTCGAGCATTCCAAAGGAATCTGCTACAGCTTTAATTTCAGTTTTGCAGTGATGAGCAAAAAGCATTTGGTAGCCGTCCTGGTTTGCCTCTCCATTGCTGTGACAAAACACTCTGACCAATACCAACTTGGGGAGGAAAGGGTTTATTTAGCTTACATATCCCGGGTCACAGTTCATCAGGGAGCCCAAGGTAGGAACTCAGGGCAGGAACCTGGAGGCAGGAGCTGGAGCACAGGCCATGGAGGAACACTGCTTACTGGCTTGCTCCCCTGGCTCCTGTTCAGCCTGCTTTCTTATGCAACAAAGGCCCACCTGCCCAGGGGTGGCACCACCCACAGTGGGCTGGGCCCTCCCACATCACTCATCAAGCAGGTGCCCCATGGACATGGCTACAGGCCAGTCCAATGAAGCCAATTCCACAATTGAGGCTCCCTCAACCCAGGTGTGTCAAGTTGACACTAAAGCTATCCAGCACAGTAGCTGGGCAAATGATGATGACGATGATGATGATGATGTATAAATATGAGAAACAACTAGAAGATACACTTCTTGTTCTCAATGATTGTGAATTTCCCCTCTGATTACTGTGTAGGTGAAGCTGCTACATGGGGCAAGGGAGTATACAAAGCTTTCAACGGCCGCATCTTTTCCTTTGAGTCTTCGTGCGCATACACTTTCTGCCGTGACTGTGCCGACTCAGGAGGAGACTTCAACATTGAGATCAAAAGGAACAATGACAGCGAGATTGAGGAAATAAAAGTTCTGATCGACAATGTTGACATCTCTATTTCGGGCAATGATATTTTAGTTAATGGAGAAAGGTAAACAGCAGAATGTGTTGTCTGAGTGTTGTGGAGTAATTTGCAGCAGCATGAGCCAAAAACCAAACAAACAAAAAATTGTGTTAGATGGGGAACAGGTGGTCCTCTTCCTGTTCGGATGCTTGTCTCTGATGGAACACACCCCGTAGGTCTGCTGCAAGATGAGTACTAGTGCTCACTCAGTGCAGTGCAGATCCCAGAGCCGTTACCAGAACGCGTTTTGCATTGTTGAATGCTAAGTACTTATTTGGAGCTTTGGAAATTAGAAATAGAAGAGATAAAAGTTCATGGACTACTAGTTTTCAGAAGTGGTAGTTCATATATTTGGAAGGGATAACCTTTGAATACTTTCCAGAATAGGAAATTGAGGAAAATTATACTTGTGAACATTTCAAACTACTGGATCATCTTTGCTGACAATCAAAGTTTGACCTGTTTATTTCTCCAAAACTTGTTCTAAAAATTCTTTTTTATCGCAATACTGTTTTCACTGTTTACATATATTTGCTGTTCTTATTTTTCAGGGTACAGATGCCTTACAGTAATAAAATGGTTCACATTAAGAAACAAGGAGAACACAATGTTTTGAACAGCCATAGAAGAACCTTGTCTTTAATGTGGGGCAAAAAGAAGCTCTCAGTACGTCTATCCACGATTTTCTTTTAAGTTTCTGTTCTTTCACTTTAGTTACAGAAATGCACACATGATAAGGGAAGTATAACCTAAGATTAGTTGACACATCCTGATACACTGAGTGTGCTAGGCATTATCTAATAGTGAAAGTATCTTGAAGTACATAAAGTTATTACATGGCTGATGATGTACCAGATAATTCATATGAAGGAAAGTTAAAGATATCTGCCTAAGGATGCAGTAAGAGGTGGCATCAGATCTGTCCAAAGTTCTAGTCACAGCTTTTTAAAGAAAGTCACCATAGCACACTCCCAAGTGACCAGCTTACATAGGAAGACAGGAAGAATCCCTGACCTGTGGTTTGCTTGGATTTTTATTTTGCATTATTTTCAATCTTTTATAAAACTATAAATATAATTTATTTTTAAAGCTCACTCTTCATAGCCATTATGAAACTTGTGGCCTTTGTGGAAACTTCAACACCACTCCAGGTAAGATCTAATGGATTATTTCTAAGAAAGTTGCTTTCCAAAAGAAAAATTATGATTTTTTACATTTGGATAGTTTCTTTAAACTTTTATTTTTGAGAATACATGAGTATTGTCTTTGCATTATTTCTGTCCCTCCTGGTCCTCCAACAGCTCCTTCCATGCTCTGACTTCCTCTCAATTTCTTCTCATCTTTTATTGTTACATATATATGTATATGTATGTATATGTATATAGAGTCCACTTAGTGCTACCCACTTGGAATTAGATGATCTCTCAAGGAGCTGGTCCTTGGAGAAAACTGATTCTCCCTCTCTCAGTATCCGTGGCTTGCCTGTAGCTCTTCGTCTTGAGGTGGGACCCTGTGACGTCTTCCCCATCCACCTTGGCATCTAAGCTGGTTTTGTCTGTGCAGATCTTGTTAGACTACTTCACCGTGAAGAGTTCACTGGTGCAGCTTCCCTGTCCTGTCTAGAAGGCATTAACTAGCAGCAGGGGTCTTGTTCCTCTGGCTCTTACATTCTTTCCGCCCCTCATTCCCTGTGTTCCTGGGCCTTAGGAGTAGAGGTTGCATTGTAGATATGTCTAAAGGATGAGAAACTATTAAAATCAAAACATATCTATGTTGCCAAAAAACAAAGGACACACACATGAACATCTGAAATAATGCTTTTACTTTCAGGTCAAGATATTAATGAGCACATTGCCAATAGTAAAATTCCTGGTGACTGTCCCAGTGCTCTTAGGAAGAACACTGAAGTGTGTGAAGATGGATTCCAGGTAGGAGGTCTATATTCCATCTTGTAGCAATTTCAGCAGTATTACCCCTGGATTTTTAAATGAATTTTAATGTGTGTTTTAGGGTATTTAATGTGACATTATGGATTACATAAAGGGTGGACTACAGTGAGGGAAACTAACATATCCATCATATAGTTGATGTAGCTGTGGCAAGAAGAGTTAAAATGTACTCACTCGGCATGAATATCTTCCACACTACAGCTGCACAGTATGGTCTTCATGACGTACGTGTGCTCTGGATCTATTCATCCTGTGTATGTCTATGTTATATCCTCAGACATGTGTCACCCTATTTCCTCTCCCCCAACTTATGCCCACCATTTCTATCTTTCAATATTGGGTTACTTTTTAAGATTCCTCATATAAATGAGATCATGAAATTTTTAAAATTATTTCCCTCAGCCTAATATTTTCCAGGCTCACGTTTTGTGATAATTGTAAGCTTTTGCTCTTTCCTTTAGAGATGAATAATATTCTAGCCACAGGTTCTCAATCCATTTTTATGTCTAAGGATGCATAGGTGGTTGGTTTCCATATCCTGTGATGTTGTTTGAATATGAGAGTGCAGGTGTCGTTATGAAGGCTGATTTCATTTTCTTTGCTTGGCTGGGTCACATTCCTATTTTTGCAGTGGCTGCAATTTTACATACCTTCTGGCCCATATGAGTTTCCTCTTCTTCATATCCTGCTCACAATGTTTATTTTCTGACTTTGTGTTAATAAAGTTGGAATTCTAAATTCTAAAGTCAAATTCTTTTAAAAATACTGTTATTAATTTATTTTTATTTTATGCATATCAACAATTTTCCTGCATGTATGTAAATGCACCTGTGTGTGCAATGCTCATGGAGGCCAGAAAAGGGTGATGAATCCCCTGGAATTGAAGTTATGGATTGTTGTTAACAGCCATATGCATGTTGGGAACCAAACCTGGGTCCCCTACAAGAACAGCCATGCTCTTAATCACTGAGCTGTCTCTTTAGCCCCTAAAGTCTAAATTCTAATGTGTATGGGGTAGCTTTGGTTTGTATTTACCTAATAATAATTAATGCCTTGGGGAACATCTATTCAAGCTTTTGCCCATGGTTTAATTGGGTTATTTGTTTCTCCACTATTGAGTTCTATGAGCTCTTAATAAACTTTGGATGACAACCCTTTATCAGACGTGGTTCTTCAAATATTATCCCAATCTGCAGGCTGCTGTTTAAAATTAGACTTAAAATTGAAATTTGAATTGAATTCTTTGCTGTGCTGAAAACTTTTAGTTTGATGCAGTACATTTATTTTTGCATTGCTGGCCCAAGTTTTTAGAGTGACATCCAAAAAGTCATTCCAAAAGTCAGTGACTGGGAGCTTTTCCCTATTTGCTTTTATGGTCTTGTATTTTTGGATATTGTAGTTAGATCTTTTATCCATTTTGACTTGATTTTTGTTTCTAGTATGAGATCATTTCTTTTACAAGTGAAAATTCTGTTTTTGAAAAGCATCGTTTATTGGAATGACTATATTCCCTCGTTACGTTCTTTTGATACTCTTGTGAAAATTAGTTGGCCATACATGTTTGGATTTCATCCTGGGATCGGTATTTTGCTCTGCTGGTCCATGTCACAACCATGATGCTTGGATGAATGTAGCTGTGGAATCCTTAGTTTCCCTTAGATGGCCCCATCCTCTTCTAAGCACTTGCTCTTAGATTTCTGCAACTGCTTTCTCTCCAATATTCCTGTCGTTTGCTTTCTGATTCTGTCTATCTGTGGATGATCAGGTAAGATTTTCCCAAAGCGTCACAGTATTTACTCTGTATTAGTACAATTCCAACTTCCTTCATGTGATGTTTTGGTTTTCCGTTATCCTCCATGCTTCACTGCAGTCACTGGACGGGCATGGACTGTCTTTCCTCTCACAGCTTAGGCATCTCCCATCTGCATCCTGTTCCCTGACTTTTGATCTGGATGGCCTGTTTGAAATGTCATTCTTGACCTTGTGTTTGCAAAGTTACACAGAATAATTCTGTCTACATGCTTAAAAACAGCTTTTGAGAAAGTTATGAGAAATTTCCCAAAGGGTAATATATGAAAAAAATCCTTGCTGGTTCTATTTTCCTTATTTTACACTTTATTTGAAGGGTGGCATCAGTCTTCATTGAGTCTAGTTAGTACAAATTACATATCCATTAAACAGGAGCTTTTGTGTTTTTCTGAAAATAAACTGCTAAAATATAAAATACTATATGGTAACTGAAATATGTTGAAAATCAAACTTTTGGTGCCACAACAATACATGCCTTTATTTTGTTCTGACAGAAGACAAACACACAGTGTTCCCACCAAGAAAGGATGCTGTATTTTATGACCACTTGTTTACTCATAAAACATAAGCAGTTTAACAGTTGAAGGCACATTATCTCCTCTGTGCATCACGGTTTCCCAACAATTAACCTGCCAGTGTTGGACACTAACAAATCCCTTCACAGCCCTTCCATGTTTGCAAGTTCTAAACTTCACTTCATTGTAAGAAATAGATTCAGACAGATTGACTAACTCATATTGGATAATACTGCAGCTGTGTTTGAAGCTATCACAGGGATCTGAAATGCCAGCAATGACACATTCTGTTAGGAGTTACGTTACTGACAACATTTCTTAAGATTTTAAGTTTCAGTTAGTACACAAAAGCCCCAATTCTGGAAAAAAAATATGTACTGTAATGTTAAAACAAACAAAACAAATGATCTTTTCTTAAAATTCATCTTGTTGCATGTTCTATGTTTTAAGAAGACATTGTGCTTTGTTTTATAGTCCTGCAATAAAATGATTGCAACCTATTTTGAGAAATGTGGAAAAGTTTCTCCACTGGCCAGTGAGTACAAAGCACTCTGCGTCGATGAGTACTGCAGAAACAAAGGCAAGATGTTGGCCTGCAACACCTACTCAGAGCTGTCCCGCCTGTGCACTGCTGATGGTCCTGGCATCTTTGAACACTGGCGAGATGATTTGGATGTGGTTTGTGGTAGATTTTTTTCTAAAGTATCCTTGGTTATGAATAAATGAATTCTTATAGCATTTTTCAGAGTTAATGAACATTTCAAAAGAATTTTGTTGAATGAATCTAATCCCTGGAAGGGCTGTTAGGGTTGAAGACATCTCACCACTAACGTGTTTATGAGGAAATTGAGGCTCATTTTGTGATGTGATTTGCCTGTTGAATTATTTGGTTTTAAGATCTTAATACACCAAGGCAAGTCACATCACAGGCACAGGGGGAAGAAAATGATATAAAAATTAACTGAAGATTTGTCAAAAAGTATACTCTTTAGTATTATTTTATTTTAAAAGATTAGTGGAATTAGTCTGGCCATGGTGGCATATGCCTTTAGTACTAGCACTTGGGAGGCAGAGGCAGGCAGATCTCTGTGAGTTCAAGTCCAGCCTGGTCTACACAGGGAGTTACAAGGGATATAGGGAGACCCTGTCTCAGAAAGACCAAAAAAAAAAATAGGTTAGTGAAATGTAAATATGATCTTCATTGAGTAGAATAGCTTATGTTAAGGTTAATCTTTGTATGAGAGAATATAAAACTCAACATGAGATTAATATTCTTTGTATATAATTTACGTCACTTCTAAATTAAATACCCCTTAATGAAATAATGCACGAGAAATTAGCATCATTTAGTTCTATAGATAGCTTTAAAAATTAACTTGTATGTGAACATCAGAATAAAGATTCCTATTTGAGAAAGCTCATTAGAAAGGCTATATTTACCTCATTAATATTCCTCTGCTTTACATTGCTATGTTTTTCTATCTCCAGAAAAGCCTAAATGTCCAGCAAAACATATCTACAAAGAATGTGGACCCTCCAACCCTCCAACTTGTTCTAATGTAGCTCCTTTTCAAGACAGCGAGTGCGTGAGCGGCTGCACCTGCCCGGAAGGTAACCACCCCCAACAAGGAGCCCTTCCTGGTCGCTCCTCCTGGGCCGCCACACGGAGAAATGCTAGAGACTTGAAAGCTAATGTGTGGTTTTGTACCTCAGTACCTCAGGGTTCCCCCATTCCACAGGCTATGCTGAGCTCAATAAGTCTTGGCACTATGGAGCCTTAATAAAGGCTCTGAAGAGCTTCAGCCCGGTTCCTGTCAGTTTAAATGAGGAACTGCTTGCTAGAAATTATCTTTTCAGTGCATGCTGGCATTTCGTTAGAACTAGTTTGGAAGTGGCTGCAATTATACTGAACAATTCACTCATGTCTCTATGATTTTCAGATTAACATAATGTATTCTAGGTTACCTCTTGGATGATATTCGAGATAAAGGAAAATGTGTATTAAAGGAGAAATGTCCCTGTGAATCTAATGGACAAGCGTACCAGGCAGGGGACGTCCGAGAAGGCCCCTGTGGCTCCCAGTGGTACGTGGGTACTTTTTGTTTACATTTTATGGTTGGCTGTTGAAATAATAACAATATTTTATCTAATTTGAAATTTTCCCAAAATGCACCCTTAAGACGAAGTTTTCAGAGATCACAATCTCATCCCATTTTTTTTTCACTTTTAGTCAAGCATTTTAAATTACCAAATACAGAGTGATCAAGTATATGAGCTTTCTGTATACCTTTAAAAGATAATGTGATTGGCTAACAGAAATAGTGTGTGAACAGTCAACTACTATTCACTGTAGATGCAAATAGAAAGCAAAGCAAACTACAAGTGTTTGATTATAACCGTGGTGCTAAGTCTTCCAAGAGTGTGTAAGGAACTGCATGATCAGAAGTAACTCCTCACTTTTCAAACGATTTCATGTATGACAGCATTGGTAAAGGTAGTATATTTAATCTGTGTGTAGATTACTTCTCTGTAATTGGATAGTTCATTTGTGTTCAGCAAAAATTTACTGACCAATGATATTTTCCCATAGCTAATTATAGTTTTTCTCTGAAACTCCGAATTCTGCAAGATTGATACAGGGCTTTCCTACAAATATATTCAAACCTTGTATGTAGAGAAATAATTCAGTGAAAAAAATCCATTGATTAGTTAAAATATAAAATTTTCTCGATAAATGTGAAAGTTTGTTATGAATATATTGAATTATAAGTTTTAATTCCCACAACAGTGTTAAGAACACTTTAATGTGAGCACAAATGTGGTATAGATATATAACTGAACATTTTTGGTTCACATATTTAAAATTTTTTTAAGTTGAATTTTTTATAATTTATATAACCTGATAATTCCAAAATATTGTAATTCCAACATAAAAGCAATATAAAACAAAGTTATGAAATATCCTATAATACTTTCATAGCCATTCTTCAATATTTGTCTGTACTTTATATTTATAGTAGATACCAGTGAGAGATAGTGCACTTTAAACACTGTCTGTCTGCCTCTGCATTACCCTGGAAAGGCTAAGTTCACATTGAAGCTTGTAGCTGGTGTTTTAGTACTAATAATGCAATGTATTTCATGTAGACAAACCTCAAAGTCCAGTTTGTTTTATGTGTATTTGAGTCATGCAGAAATGATCATTTTTAGACAAACAAACTGAAGTTTTTTAATTTGTCAGGAGATCAACATTGATGAGACAGTAGATAAGACTTCATGAATGACCTTTAACATAATCATTGCATTTAACAGCACCTTCCAAGAAGCTAAGTGGTCCTGCACTGAGGCTTTATGTCCTGGAAGATGTAAAGTGGAAGGAAGCTTATTTACCACTTTTGATGATAATAAATTCAATCATCCTGGAAACTGCCACTTCTTGGCCATCCATGTATGTTTCATATATGTATACAATGTATTTAGATCATATCCATGTCACACTCACCCCTTTCAATTCCTCCCAGGTCTCCCTCTCACTCCCAAGTCATCTTCATCCCTTCCTCTTCTTCTTCTTCTTCCTCCTCCTCCTCTTCTTCCTTTTCCTCCTCTTCCTCCTTCTCCTCCTCCTCTCTTCCTCCTCCCCTTCCTTCTCCTCCTTCTCCTCCTCCTCCCTGTCCTCTCTCCTCCTCCTTCTCCTCCCCCTCCTCTCTCCTCTTCCTCCTCTTCCTCCTCCTCTTTCTCCTCCTCCTCCTCCTCCTCCTCCTCCTCCTCCTCCTCCTCCTCCTCCTCCTCCTCCTCCTCCTCCTCCTCCTCCTCCTCCTCCTCCTCCTCCTCCTCCTCCTCCTCCTCCTCCTCCTCCTCCTCCTCCTCCTCCTCCTCCTCCTCCTCCTCCTCCTCCTCCTCCTCCTCCTCCCCCTCCTCTCTCCTCTTCCTCCTCTTCCTCCTCCTCTTTCTCCTCCTCCTCCTCCTCCTCCTCCTCCTCCTTGTCCCCCTCTTCCTCCTCTTCTTCTTTTTGTAACCAGTTGAGTTCAGTTACTGCCACTCTCATGCATATGAGTGTATAGCCACCCACTGCAGCATGGGCAACCTATCAGGGACCATAACCTTGAAGAAGACTGACTCTTCCCAGCAGCCATCGAATGCCAAGAGCTCTTGAACTAGGAGTGGGGCCTTGTGATCCCCTCCCAATTTCATTTTGAGATGTTGATGAACTTGATATTATGCAGGTCTTGTGTGTGCATGTGTGTGTGTGTGTGTGTGTGTGTGTGTGTGTGTATGTGTGAAATTTCCCACACCCACATTAGCAGTCATGTAGTCAACTGGTATTTTCATTATGCAGATCTTGTTAGGCTACCATACTGTGGAGATTTCATTAATTAGCAGCAGATGTCTTGTCCTCTGGTTCTTACATTCTTTCCACCCCCTCTTCTGCCCTGTGCAGATGTTGCATCATAGATGTATCACTTAGGGATGGATACCTCCTAGGCACCTATTCTCTGATCAGTTGTGGAACTTTGGGATATCTCCATCTATTGCAAAAAGGAGTTCCTTTTATGAGTGGTTAGAGCTATACTTACCTGTGAATATATGGATACATATTTAGAATATTGAAAGAAATTACATTGGTCTAGGAAAGTGGCAGTAATAGGCTCTTCCGTGGTCTATGATCTCTCCAACCACGTGTACTTGGCTACGTTTACAGTACTATGCATGGATTCCCTCCTATTGAGTGGGTCTTAAGTCTAATTAGACAGCTGTGAATTAACCCCCCAATAAAAATGCCACTAATGTACCAAAAGTGATAATTTTCTGGGCTGGTAATTTTTGTGATTTGTAGGCTTTACAGCTGGGGAGGACAACTGATTGGTTTTCTCCCTTGGCAGCTTACACAGTATCTTCTGATACTGTGAGAGCTCATCTTCAGGAGGAGACTTCCAGCTCATTTTCAGCTCAATTGCCCTAAGTCCTGTGTCCAAAGTGTGTTGTGTCTTCAGCAATAGGGTCTGACCTTCAAGTTCTGGGAGGCCATCAAGGGCTGTGGTCATAGCCTATATTATTTGGGGAGTTTTTTGGACTCTCTTGTCTAACAACAACTCGAAGGGAGGTTTCCCTTGCCTGGTATTGTGATTTTGTTGTATAACCTTCCGCTATACACGTGTGCTGCGCAGTTCTGATGCGCACATCCTTAGTTGCTGTGACTTCGTGAATGCAATGGCTTTGTCGTGTCCAGAAGACAGCATTTTGCATTAATCCTTCTCAACTTCTGCCTCTTACAACTTTCTGTTCCCTCTTCTGTGATGTTCCCTGAGGCTTTGATGAGGAAATAGCATGATGTAGATGTCCTGTTTAGGGATGAACACTGCATGGTCATTTATTCTCTGCCCTTTGATCAGTTCTGAGTCTCTGTATTAACCATCATCCACTGCTAAAAGAAGCTTCTCTGATAAGGAATAAGACCTGCAGTGATTTGTGGGCTAAAGATGGGTACTTATACTATGTCCAATTAGCAAAATAACACCAGTAGGTTCTCACCTGTGTGTGCAACCTCCCAGGCCACAAGTTTAGAGGACTAGGTTCAGAGTCCCAGGCAAGTGCTCCTTCCTGTGGAGTGGGTCTTAAATCCACTTAGAAGGATATCGGTTTTGCCCATGACATTCATATCATTGTTGAACCAATGGCCATATTTTTCCAGGCTGATCACCACTGTAGCTCACAGGGTTCACAGCTGGGTAAGATAGTTGATGATTTTCTGGTATCATGAAAGCTAGCTGATAGGGAGGACGTAAACCACACATTTTATACTGAGTTTCTATTTAAAGAAACAAACAGTCCTCCAGTTGTTAATTATATGTTTCAGTGCTTGTTTTCTGTCACAATTGGCATCAAGAAATTACTTATCAATACTATATTATTTGCACTCTTTGAAAATTCTTGCTGAAAATTTGAAAGTAGAACTTTAAACCTGTGAAGAGAATCATAGAATATTTTCATAATACATTATTAACTAGAATGTATTTGTTATTTTATTAAAATATTTTTGTTATCAAAAAAGGAAATTTCTTGCTGAAATAAAATCCGACAAGTAAAACCCTCTCCATTTACCCACAACCTCCTAGTGCACTGGAAAGTCCGCTCTTCTGTGCATGTGCTGAGTAGTGTGTCACTCAATATGATCCCCCACGTTCCCAGAAACACCTTCCTCATTCATCGTCATTCCTTTACATTTATTTTTACTCGTTATAATACAACGAAACCAGTATGATAATGACTGTGCTTACACTTAAATTCCTAATACTAACATTTTAAGTAAAATGAATTTCATAAAAAGAACTATTCTATTTTGTAGCTTGTGCCTTCTTGTGCTTATCTTTCTGGTAAGAATTGATGGTGAATGAAATCTGGGAATATTAAGGAGAGGTGCGTTAATATCTTAAAGTTTGCAAAATGTAGCTGCTGCTCCTGAAAATCTGTTTTTTAAAATAAAGCTTTTTAATTGTCTACCAAACATAATCTAGTTTTCTTTTTATGCTCTTCCTGTTTTAAACCACGAGAGCTGGAGATGGGGAAACAGAGAGCGAGATCTGCTAAAGTACATGGAGTGTGTGCTGCCTCTAGACCAGCCGTTCTCAGACCTTGAAATTAGAACTGGAAGGCTTGTGAAGTTTGGGAGTATAAATTGCTGGTTTACAAGTTAAAGACCTCTTACTCGGAATTATGCAGTTATTACAGGCTATCCACAGATTAAAAGGCTTTGTGCTCTGTAATTCCTGATAATCCCCACAAGGCATGACAATTACCAAAAAAAAAAAAATCCCCAAATTTTAGAGCATGTGGATTTCATAAGATACTACGACCATTTGTAATGTGCTTGGCTGGTCCTGTAGTTGTACCAGGGATAGAATGAGTTTCTTTGTTCTGAATAGATTGTATGTAGAAACCTGCCTACTAAAATTCAAATACTCATCATGAATAAATTGCATAGTAATAGCATATGAAAAAATACTGGAATAAAAAAAATATATTTTTTTACAGAATGAAGATTTGTCTGTTAGTGTTGACCTTCATCCGTGTGCAAATGGTCAGACAGGATCATGCTTAAAGAGTGTTATGCTTCTCCTGAATTCTGTAAGTATTTAACTTCCTAAGGTTAAGTCAGACCATAAGATCAGATCAATTAGTTCAGAATTTAAGAATTAGGGAGGGCTGAGACATTGGTTCGGGGGTAAGAGTGCTTGATGCAAAAACCTGAGGACCCAAGTTCAGATCCCCAGCACCCAATTAAAAACTAAATGAGACTATGGATGACTGTAACCCCAGGGCTGGGAGGGTCAGAAACTGGAGGATCCCTGGGGCTTGCTGACCAGCCAGCCTAGCCTCAAACCAGGGAGATCTAGGTTCACTGAGAGACTCGGTCTTATTGGGAAAAGTCAAGGAGTGATAGAGCAGGACCCCTGATGTCCTGCTCTGACCTTTGCAGACAGCCCACGTACAGCCCCATGCACACATATACAGATACATACAACACACACAATAAAACTTAAATTTGGGTGCGAAACAGGGAGGCTCAGTTGATAAAGTGCTTACCGTACAAGTATGAAGACCTTAGATCCCCAGCACCCATGCAAAAAAAAAAAAAAATTGCTAAGCTCAGTTGTGTTGCCTGTAATTCCTGCATTGGGGAGGCAGAAACAACGATGTGCCCAGGATTTGCCAGCCAGCCAGTCTGTATTATACAGCTCCAGATCCACTGAGAGACCATGACTTAGAGAACCAGGTGGATCATAACTGAGGAAGACACCTGATGTGAGTCTCTGTCCTCCACATGCACTCTCACACACACCTGCATGCATGTGTACACATATGTACATACACATATACACACATAAACACATACACATATGCACAAAAGAATTCTGGAGTTTAAAAAAGAGCAGCTTTACTATATAAATAAATTAAATGTATAAGTAAGGTCATACACAAAAAAGAACAGTTTTCTGGAAGAGTTGGAAAGAGCCAATGCCCTGAATTATGCCCAGTTGACCAAAATACACAGTTTTATGGGAATGGAAGATCAACTTTATGTGTTCACCAGATTTTTAAAGGAAGCAAGCAAGGCAGCCTAGATGTTGGTACTTAGAAACGGTTACCATCTTGGTTTCTTTTTCCTCATTTGTAAATCAGGCATGAGGGCTCCTTTCCAGTCTCCTGTACAGGGTTGGTATGGGAAAAATGAAACACAGTGTAAGACAGGATTTAAAATATCCTATGTTTCAAATGTTTATAAATTAATCTTATAGAATTAAATATGTTTTAATGGCACAAAAATTCAGCTTTGTATAGTACACTGAAATGAATATGAACTAACAAAATGTTTTAAATATTAGTCTACTTCAGGTAACAGATTTGTCTTCAATAGTGACGGAACAGTCACAAAGGATGGAGTTAGAATTCAAGGTTATTACTACTCAGGTAAGTTTAATAACAGTATTTATAAAGAAACACAAGATGTATTTGGTTATGCAGTTTCTAAAGCTATTTTGACAATTATCAAAGGTGTGATATTATAAGCTAACATGCTGATTATTATTTTAATAGATGAAATACAGATCTTCAATGTATCTTCTTCATACCGTCAAGCAGAGGTATATCCACATTTAAAAATGCAAATACAAACTGTTCCTGTAATGCAGCTATATGTATCCATGCCACCCAATGAGTTCACAGACACCGTAGGTTAGTCCTGCTGGTGAATTGTTATTTCCAAGGATTGAATAGAACTTCTTTTATTTCACTTCCAGTTCTCTCTCAATGATGCCACTCTGTAAAGCGTTTTTAACTTAATCTTTCCTTTCATATTGTAGTAAAATAATTCCATCTCTTTTTATAGTGACAGTATCTTTGCTCATAACAAAATCAATACCAAATAGTTTTCAAGAACTCATGCCTTTAATTTTTTTTGTTTGTTTTTATTTTATGTGTATGAGTGTTTTGATTATATGTATCTAAACACACTTGTGTTGTGTAATGTCTGTGGAGGCCAGAAGAGGGCATCAGATCCTCTGGGACTGGAGTTACAGACAGTTGTTAGCCACCATGTGGGTGCTTGGAGCCAAATTTGAGTCCTCTGCAAGAACAGTTTGTGTTCTTAACCATGAACCTTTTCTCCAGCCCCTAACAAACCATGCCCTTAAAATGAAAATTAAGGCTTTTATTTAAAGCTAAATAACAATTTGATAATGTATTTTATATATTTCTTTACTAGTAAGTACTGTGTATCATTAAGACCTTGATGTGTAGCTGAGTAAATAAAAATTCAAAGGTATAACTTTTAAAATCTTATTTCAAATGCAAATGTTTCTTACTTGCCTTTCTGATAAAGCATGTGCTAATTTATTTTACTGATGTTTTCCATCACAAAAAATGAGCTCTAATATACAGTCATAGACATTGAATAAACAAACAGAACTGATTGCAAGTCCCATTAAGAGATATGGATGGTGCATGCTTTATGATACACACCTTACTTTGAAAGGTAACTTATTTACACGTAGAAAAAAATATAACTTGTAAGTTACAAAGCTCCAAGTCCTTCCATCTTCTGATGTCTTCCTCAATCTCTTTCTTTAAAGATTTAAAAATTTCACTGTAGAGCTCTTTAATGTCTTTGGTCATGTTTATTCGAGATATTTTATTTTTTTTGCAGCTATTGTGAAAGGGAGTGTTTCCATGTGCTCTTTCTCTGATTGCTTGCTACTGATATATAGAAAGGCTACAGACTTTTGTAGGTTAATTTTGTAACCTGCCACTTTACTGAACTTGTTAATAAT